CAGCCCCTGTGTCCCAGAAAGAGGCTGGCAGGTGGTGCAGGCCCTGGGAAGCAGAGGGAGGTAAGGGCTGGGCCAGACCCAGAAGCAGTGCTCCTGGGGCCCAGAGAAGGCACTACCTTGGTCTGGATGAAAAGGATCAGGAAACAGTATTGGTTCCCCAGGTGTCTGGGGCCCCAAGACAAGGAATGGGGCAGGACCCAAACTAGGAGGAGAAACTGGGGGGGGGGCAAGGCATGGAGGGTGTGATGGACTTACCCTGGAGAGAGAGGCCTACGGGTAGGATAGAGGCCACATGTATAAAGTTTTTCAGATGAGACCATATATGTAATTTTGGAAATTTGGTTTAAGCAATGATTTATTAAATGTGATACCAACATCACAACCAAGAAAAGAAAAAGTAAGGAAATTGGAATTTTTAAAATTAAAACAAGATTGCACATCAAAGTGTACGGTAAAGCATTCTTTAGAGTGGAATAAAAGATTTATAAATCACATATATCATAAGGGCCTGGTATCCCTTATGTAAGAACTATTATAGCTAATCAATGAAAGACAAGCAAGCCAATTGAAAGTCATCAAAAATCTGAATAAACATTTTCCCAAAGAAATATCATTGTCATTAGGAAACTACCAATCAGAATCACAATGAAATTCCATTCTGTCTCTGCTTGGATGGCTGTAATAAGACAGACAATATGAAGTGCTGTTGAGGATGTGGAGAAATTAGGACCATTACACTGCTGGGAAAGCCACTTACCAGTTCCTCAAAAGTTTAAAATTAACAGATGACCCAGCAGTTCTATTATGAGGTACATACATATACATATATATGTATATATATGTATATATATATAAACATTATCCGTAAGATCATTGCAAAATATACATCTTTACATAAACTTGAGCAGAAATGTTCATAGCATAATTATTTGTAATACCTCAAAAGATACAACCCTGATGTTCATTAGCTGATGATTGCTTAAAAAAAAAAAAGTCCGGTATATCTATTGAATGGAATATTATTCATCCATAAGAAATGCTGAAGTGCTAACACATGCTACAACATAGATGAGCCTTGAAAACATACTAGATGAAAGAAGCCAGACACAGAGGCTACGTATTAAATGATTTCACTGATGTAACAAGTCAAATGTAGGCCAATCCACAGAGACGGAAAGTCAGTTGGAATTATCAGGGACTGGAGAGTGTAGCATGGCTGCTAATGGTGTGGAGTTTCTTTTAGGATGATGAAATATTTTGGTGTTGGGGTAGTAATGGTTGTAGAACTTTGTGGATATACTAAAACCCACTTAAACACCATCAGTAGGTGAACTTTATGGTATGTGAATTACATGTCATTTTTTTAAAAAAGCAATCCAGTGTGTGGTTTGCACATTCAGGATCTGGCTTTGGTTGCTAATGGTAGTCTTCCTGCCCTTCTTTCTCTGAGGGCTGCTACCTAGGGGCAATGGACAGTGGTGGAAAACCTGTCCTTACATCCCACAATTCAAGCCTTTGTCAGCATTTCCTGGGAAAAGCTTCCAGGATGCTTGTGTCTGGTGCCTCCTAGTGTTCACATGAGAGTTACCTGACTCCATTTCTAGTGGTGGCCATGCTCTCTTTTGTGTTAAGCCCCATCTCTCTTTTCCATTCTGCTTCCCCATGTCCTCACAGGTTTGGTTCTGTGGCTCCAGATGGACAGTACTATTCACCTATTAAAAGCAAGAGTGCAAGATTCAATACAATGCTGGCCACACTGACCCCTTCAAGATTAGCAGTGACATTCCAAGCTGTGGGCACCATGAAGGTAGTTGACTCTGATTTTAGTTGACATCACTGTTTATTGTCTGTATGTTTTCAGAATAGGTAGCAATGTCACAAGAGAAGATTCTTAAACCACAGTTGTTGTAATGGGGCCAGAGATGTTGATTATGTGCCTGGGACAGGTACTTGAACATATATACAGAACATTTCTGCATCCTTCTTGAGAGAGTATTCCACCCATCTGCATCCCAGATGTGAGCGCTAAGCACAGTTGGAGAAGCAACAGAATCCCAAAGACCCAGGGAGACGCCTTCTTTAAGATGAGCGTATCTATTGTAAAGTAATTAAGAGTTGACTCATGTGGGTGAAGGGCACCATTTCTTGGCTCAGTTCATGGGTGCATGCTGAACCAATATGCAGTTTGAGTGTGACGTTAACCATCACAGGTTGGAGTTCATGAAGCCAGATCTCCAGAAGCCATCTCTGCTTCCTCTTCCCTCTCCTTGCCATGTATTGCTTTGGGCAGAGCCTAGATAGAGAAAAGCTCTTGAAGGCTCTTTTTCTCCTCCCTGTGACTCCACACTGTTTGCTCTCTGGGCCCTCTAGGTTCTGCATGAGGGAAAAGTCTTCTTTAAGCACTACTGAGCTCGGTGAAGCTGGAAAAAAATAGACTTCCCAGTAATATATGTTTGTGGCTTGGGTCCAGTGTTTCCATCAAGAAAGAATAAATTTCATTCACTTAGTTCTGGACCTGCCAGTCTGAATGGTGTGAAAGTCCTTTCCTACTCACTCTTTCAGGGTCTGTCATGCTTTTCAGGCAGCTCGTCTCACCCCTACTCTCCCTGGGTGGTGCTCCTCCTGTGGATAGGCACAACTGTAACACTGTAAACATATGTGGTCAGGATTGAGCCCATGACCTCACACCCTTCTATGGCCCTGTTCCCCTGCTTGTTCTGTGGTGGCACTTGAATGGGGCTAGGTAGCTGCTCAGTTCTGAAGTCCTGACATTAGTGTCTTGACTGATCTCATATCAGCACCATCTGACAGAGGAGTTTGCAGGACGGCTTTGTAATGACACACTGGGAGGGTAGCACTCATACAATATCTCCCCTAATTATAGTAGTCGTCCAACAAGCCCCACCCAGTGCTTCTCTGAGCACATAACAAGCATGTGCTGGTTAGTGCAACAAAGGCCTCTAAGAGACCCTGCATCCTAGACATACATATGTTGGAGATGGTGTGAGGAGGTCCACACTGCCAGCCACCATGTTAGTTCACTGAGGTGTGTGTGGAGCTGTAGAGGAAAGGTACGGGGTAGTGTGGATCAGTCAGAATGAGGGGCCATCCAAGAGCGTTGACTTTAAAATGTACTTATTTTTATTTTATGTATATGAATGTCTGCCTTGATTACATGCATGTGTATGCACCATGTGTGTGCTTGGTGCTCATGGAGGCCAGAAGAGGGTGTTGGATCCCCTGTAACCATAGTTACAGATGGTTGTGAGCTGCCATGTGAGTACTGGGAACCAAACCTAGGTCCTTTGCAAGAGCAGCCAGTGTTTTTAACCACTGTACCATGTCTCTAACCTTCCCTGAGAGTTGGCTTTAAATATTACCAGATCTGGTGCTGTGTGGGGTGATTTTAGTCTCTTAGGAGACTAAAGGGTGATTTTTCATAGGTTTCCATCCCCCATCCTACTGAACTTTATAAAGGCCTAGTAATGGATGGCCCTGAGGATCTTGGGAACCACATTTGAATTGCTTCCTTGTGGGGTGTCTGACATGCATATTTATTCTTGGCAGTGTGGATATATGATGAACTGTGGGTCCTGAACTGAGAGGACCCTGGGCCTCAGTCTTATCTGTGTGCCGAAGTGAACTGTGGGCAAGTCAGTAGTCTCTCTAAGCTTCAGTTTCTTCCCCTCTAAAGTGGGACTCACAATGATGGTGAGGCATTAGTGAAGGAGAATGTAGCACCCATGGTATTGAACAGAAACTGCAGTGCAGAGCTGTCAGTTCTGTGGCTGCTGTCACTGCTGCTGCTTGTGTTACTGGCAAGACAAGAGTTGGCTGTGGCAAAGGAATAAGTGGCTTTTCCCATGCAGCACATGTCTAGAATACATTCTTCCAGGTAGGGCAATCTGAAATGCTTTGCAAAGCAAATCACAGAATTAGAATTGTCCCCTGCTCTGCCCGTCTATACCTTGTCAGCCAGTAGGACTACCCGGTGTGTCAGTCAACTTTCTGTTACTATACAGAGCGTTCTGAAACAATCAACTTATAAAGATAAAAGGTTTATGCTGGCTCACAGTTTTAGGAGTTTCACTCCGTGGTCAGTTATCCCATTGCTTTTGGGCTGTGAGGGAGATCGTCATGGGGAGAATGAGGCAGCCTCCCATCATGTGTGCTCAGGGACACTGCTCATGCATGGCAGCTGACAGGAAAGGGGCTGTATTAGTTATTTGTCTCCTTGCTGTGACAAAATACCTCACAAGAGGCAAACTTAATGGAGTAAGGGTTTATCTGGGCTCACACTTCCAGGATATTTTCCATCATGGGGAAGTCGTGTGGCAGAGCTTAAGGCAACTGGTAACACTGTGGCTACAGTCAGGAAGCGGCAAATGATAAATGCTGGTGCTCAGTTTACTTTCCTCATTTTACTCAGTCTAGGACCCCAACCCATGGAATGGGACAGCCTACATTTAAGATGGGGCTTCCCACCTGATTTAACCTCATCTAGAGAATTCCTCACAGACATGTGCAGAAATGTTTTCATGGTGATTCTAAATCCCATCGAACTGATAAGATTAGCCATCACAGGCACTGAGCTCATGACATCTTTTTCAAGGGCACAACCCCAATGATCTAACTTCCTTTTGCAGATCCCAGCTCCTAAGATTCCACCACTTCCCAGTAGAGCCACAGGTTGGGGACCAAGCTGTCAACACGTGGATTTCGAGGCAACATTCAAAGACCAAACTATAGTGTCCAGGCCATGAAGGGATGCTGCATAGATCCTGGCAAGGGTCAGACCCTGTGTATACTTCCATGTTGCCCTGCTGTGTGACCACTCATTGACTGTTGTTGGTGAGGATGATCTTAATGGCCCTCCCGGCCGCTCCTCCTCCCCTGCAGCTCAGACACATGACGTATGTTTCCCAGGCTGAAACCTAAGCCACTCCTGCTCCTTCTGCTCTCACTGATGAGGGAAAAATGGATTCTTCCCTCCTGTGTGCATTCTTGATATATTAGAAAACTATCATCAGGGCTCCTCAGTGACATTCGCTCAAGGCCAAGCATACCCTGTTCTTTTAAACTTTGCCAGGATGTCTGATTTTTCATGACTATCTCCCGTTTCCATGACATTCCTTAGTACTTTCAGATTTCTCTCAAAGGCTTCCCACGATAGCCATCCTCTACATGGTGTCCAAACTGCCATGCTAAATTAAATGATCAGCAAGAAAAGGAGGAAAAGGAAACCGAGATGTTTGGTTGGGGCGGGGGAGCCTCCTGGGGCAGCTGGGAAGCCTTTCCCAGGAGATGAGGACACTACTGTGAATGTGGGCGGTAGAAGCAGTGAGAATGTAAACAAATGCCAGCCTATCTTTGGGGGTAGAGGTAAATGTTTTAGCAGAAGACACACTGGTCCCCATTTGTAAAGGTGTGTCCCTAAAGGACACTCTTGGGAGCTGTGTCCCATTCACACAGTGTCTGATCTGGGCCTGAAGAATCCACTTTTTTTTTTTTTTCTAGACAGGGTCTCACTATGTAGCCCTGGCTGGCCTGGAACCTGCTGTATAGACCAGACTGGCCTTGAACTCACAGAGATTCATGGTTTCTGTCTTCTGAATACTAGGTTTAAAGGTGTATACCATCATGTCTGGCTATAAGAATCTGCATTTTTAACAAGTCCCTAGCTCGTGATGCTGCAGGCAGGGGTCTGCACATCGAGAACTTCTGTGTGCAGCAGACGGGCACAGCTGTACATTCTTGGCACCACCCTGAGTCACCTTGTCACCCTTGTGGCCTCCTGTCCTGCTAGCCTCCTTGCAGAGTTGCATCATGCTTCCTTGCTGTGGATGGGGTACTTACACATGATGCTGTGCCTATGATGCCCACATCTCTGCACAAGATAAATTTTCATGTACATGTCAGAGCTCTTGAAACCAATTCTTCTTCACACAGGCTGTGGCCTACATGTGGTTCCTCTGACATCTGTTCCCAAGGCCTGGGAACACCCTTTTGCAGTTTCTCTTGGTTATAACCAACTAATGGTTGTAACAGTAACACTGGTGGTCAGGGTTCAACATGAATTTGGGGGGTGGGTCACAATTCAGTTCAGGACACATGGCTACCCCCAATGTGGCTGTTTGGGGTTATAGATATAGGGTAAAATTTGTTAAGACTGGTGTCCACCAGAGATTTCTGTGTGTCTGCATGACACATGGCCACGTGAGGACAAAGTGGGAAGGTGGCTGTCTGTCAGCCAGAAGAGAGGCCGCACCAGAAACGAACTCTGTCGGCACCTTGATCTCTGACTTCTAGACTCCAGAACTGAGAAAATAAATGTCTATTATTGAAGTCCTTTGGTCTTTCTCATTGTTGCAGACTGCCGGAGTGGTCCCAAAGTGGGTAGGAAGGACCTCCTGACAGGCTGCCAGTCAAGACTGCAGCTGATGAGACCCAGCTCTGCCTCCTCACCTCACCCCAGGGCCAGTCCTGAGCCAAGCAAAGAGAGCTACCCTATATAAGGTTCCTACCCTCAAGTGAGGTTACTGAGTGGAATTGACATGCACGGAAACGGCTGGAATGTTGTGTCTGCTCCAGATCCCATAGAGCATGGGTCCTGAAACCAGCCTCTCTGGATTTGCATTCTGTCTCCATATGACCTCAAAAGTTATCAAGCCTCTCCATTTCTTTAAAAATAGAACTGAAAGAGGCAGAATATATAAGGGGCTTCTACAAGTGCCTACATGTACCAAAACATCCTACATGTCCTGTTAGCCTGACAGAGATGTGGAAGCTTTGCAGCTCAAGCTCAAG